CATGTGTCATTCACCAGTGAGAAATCTTTAAAAGTACTACAATACCAGGAAGGAAGATCGGGTTGTTGATGTTTGTCTGCCATTCTCGCTCTGTCTGCACAGCGTGCGTGAACACGCTGATGATGTATCCTGTCTGCGCGAACTGGGTGCGCAGAGGTATGCTAATACAAACTGTACGCTGACAGGCAGGTAGGAAAGCAAATTAAAACTCTCGGACCGAGCGTTTTGATTGGACGAGCATTTCTTGGTCCTACGCCTTCCACAGAATATATAAATACATATAAATACATTTAGACCACTTAACTTAATGATTGCTATCGGAATGTGAAGAGACTTTCAATCAGCATAACAAAAAATGTTTCTGAAGACAATCACCTATTGCACCTTTAACCTTGTCTGTTCAAAGTTAAACGCAATCTTTCATATAATCCACATTAACTTGGTAAATCAAGTAACTCTAGGTAATACTGTACAATGCAAGTATTCATAAAACACTATTTTACAAGGAACTAACTTCACAGGAATAACAACTGTAACTTTACTATCCACCTATAAAAGTAGTCCTGTCTCAAATGGACTATAACTATATCAAATAACAAACATTTTTATTTTTGACTGAATAATTCCTGCCATGAGTGTCAAAAATTAGATTCACACTTCTTTTTTTTAACCTTTAAGCTCACTTGCCACATAGACATTTGTTGTAGATGCATTACTGTACATTACCTTTTGTTGTTAACCTTGTTTAGAACTTATTTTCTTTGTTAATCGACATGATATTAGGCTCTCAAAATAGTTGTATTTAGTCCATAATTTCTTTAAACAAGAACATCATACTCAAAGTACACCACTGTATGGGGGTCTGTAAGGTATTTCTTTTTTGAAGAAATTAATTCTTTTATTCAGCAAGGATGCATTAAATTGGTCAAAAGTGAAAGTAAAGACATTTATAATGTATGTAATGTAATCCAAAAGATTTCTATTTTAAACAAATGCTATAATTTTGAACTTTCCATACATCAAAGATTACAGGAAAAAAATGTATCACTGTTTCCACAAAAATATTAAGCAGCACAAATGTTTTCAACATTAACAATAAGAAATGTTTCTTGAGCAGCAAATCGTCACCTGAACAAGCTAATCAATGTCTTCAGGATTACTAGAAAGCTACAGGCGGGTGTGTTTGATTAGGGTTGGAGCTAAACTCTGCAGGACAGTGGCCCTCCAGGACCGAAGTTGCTTATCCCGGAGTTAAATAAAGCCTATATTTGTATCTGAATGTAACGTGAAAGTCCATAGCAGACTAAATTAACAACATCATTCCAACAGTCATGAAATCGAACGAAGCTGGAAATCGAACACTTCATCTAAACTCAGCAGAGGTGACCGAGCATATTTCTTCATATTCATCCTACCCCTGATAATCAATCACATCATTAATACAGACATGACAGTTGATCAGTCTGCCTTTATGTCTACACCTACAGATGAAGCATGGTGCTGTCATCAAAACACACAGAAAGGAAATTAAATGGGGGTCTCTCTGACATCAGTACTTACCGTGTGTGAGGTAATGGAATTGGGAGGGAGATGCAAAGAAAAGGATCAAAAGTGTTGCTCTGTTTCTGACAGTGCGGACATGTAAGCGAGGATCTGGAATCAACAGAGGCCACAGTGAGCAATTTCAGCTAAGACAAACATTTTAATACAGCTGACAGACAGACATCAGTAATCATTACCTGTACTGAGCTTGAAACAGCTCTTGGACAAATGAGCCAGCTGAAAGAGGTGGTGAAGGTCCCTCTAACGCTCCATCGTCTTCCTCAATAGGAGGCTATGGTGACAAACATGAGAATGTTAGGTGCTATTTAACAATAATATTGCCAGTAACACAAGTCAACCCAGCGGAAGGTCAACTATTAAATATGCATAGATTTGATAGATTTGCATATCACATAACAAACACTTACCACACTAATATTAAAAAATTTATAAAATGCGTCATGTGCAGGCACATAAATTTCAAGCCATGTACATAAAGCAGGGCCACAACCATATAATAATAATAATTCATATAAAACTTATGAATACATGATCATCACAAGGCGTGTGTCAAAGTAAATTCCCCAAATATTACAGACCATATATATTTGACCATTTATATTTTTTGCTGGACAGTTACAAAATACAAACTGCACATACACTACCATTCAAAAGTTTGGGTTCAGAATGATTTTTATTTTATTGAAATTAATTCTTACTCGGCAAGGTTAAATCGCTCAAAACTGACAGTAAAGAAAAACATTTGTAATAGAGATGAAAATATCTCCATTTTTAAATAAATGCTGTTCTTTTTAAATTTATATTAATCCTGAAAAGAGTGTATCACTGTTTCCACAAAAACATTCATCAGCACAACTGTTTTCAACATTGATTATAATAAGAAATGTTTTTGAGCAGCAAATCAGCATATTAGAAGAATTATTTCTGAAGGATCATGTGACACTGAAAGACTGGAGTAATGATGCTGAAAAAAAATCAGCTTTTCATCACAGGAATAAATTACATTTTAAAATATATTCAAATAGAAAACAGTTGTTTTAAATTATAATAATATTTCACAATATTAGTGCTTTTATTGTATTTTTGATCAAATAAATTCAGCCTAGGTAAGAAAAAATCTCTCAAAAAACAATAGTACTTGTGTATCTGCTATTAAACCATCCAGAATGCTGTAATTTAAACACTATCTACACAATCTAAGCACACAGAAGAACTGCTGTCAGAAGTCAAAGGTTTATATGATTATGCTGCACCGTAAAAGTAGAGCTTGAGTCAATAAATAAAACCCCTATATTATGACTGGCGTTCTTCTATAAGTTTAAAGGGGGGGTACAATGCTGTTTCATGCATTCAGAGTAGTTTACACTGTTAAAGAGTTGGATTCTCATGCTAAGCATGGACAAAGTTTCAAAAAACAATTTGGACGTATGACGGAGTATTTCTGTGCCAAAAATCTTACTTCCGGGTTCGTACAAGTTTCTGAGAGTTTTTTTTTTTGATCGTGGCTCTTCATGACGTAAATGAGGGTGGAACTCCTTATATGGGCATTTCTCCTGGAAGAGCGCGCCAGCGCACACATTGACCAGAGTATAAAACTAAAGACTTTTTGGAGATATGAAGGATGCAGTACTACTCTATAGGTACTCAAGATTAACATGAGATTGGATGAAACTGTGTGTGTTATGCCCCCTTTAAGATTCCAGCTAAGCATCTGTCTCTTCAGAGCAGTGTTGTCAGTCAGCCAGGAAACTGTCAGCCTGGTGCTTCTTGGCACAAACTCCAGGAAACCACAACATACATCTAAATCAATGGGACAAGCTGAATGACCTCATGCGAGCATGCAAGTGACTGACCCTGATCCGGACACCACAGGCTGTAAAAAGAAACCGAACGAGCCCTCTTCCAAACAGGCCATAGGATGTGACTTAACATCCCATACATTTGATATAGGGGAGAATATAAGTCCCCTAAACTTGTGTCCTGGGGCCAGTTGCATAAACTTAGCCACCATGTTAAGACTGTGTCTTAAGAACTAGTTTGACCAACTAGCAGCTGCCAAGGGGTAATCAGTCTTACTTTTCCAATACGAATAAGACCAATCTACCTTTTCATAACTGAATATAAAAAGTTATGACCAGTCTTTTAGAAAAAAAATTAGACGACTAACTTTTTAAGACTAGTCTAAACAGTTTATGCAACTGATGTCTGATGTAAGACTCATAGCTGCCATTCCAGGCATGAATGGCTCTATAAATCCAGCCACGTTTGGCTCTTCTCCTATTCTGCTATTTAAACGATTGAAATCCCAAGCTTTTATGGAGCTGCTGATAAAAACCCATTCTGTGCAACCTTTGTAAACAGCTAGAGTGGTTAACAGTCTCCTAATTCATCTGTCATAAAGAGATTAATGTACTGTACGACATTCTTAGACGAAACAGCCATGCATCAGCAAAACATTTGGTCATTAAACCCAACTTATTCAGTTCACACCTTTATAGAGGCTCTGATGTTAGGGTGTACACGATGATTGAGGTCTTCATGGACACGGTCGAGCAGCCAGAGAAGGAACTCCTGGGCATCATGTTGAGCATTTCCCCGGTACTGCATGGCACTCTTTGCCACAGCATTCTACCACAACACACACACACACACACACACAAGTCAAGTTTTTAATTCAGTTCACACCTTTATAGAGGCTCTGATGTTAGGGTGTACACGATGATTGAGGTCTTCATGGACACGGTCGAGCAGCCAGAGAAGGAACTCCTGGGCATCATGTTGAGCATTTCCCCGGTACTGCATGGCACTCTTTGCCACAGCATTCTACCACAACACACACACACACAAGAGTATTAGTCAAGTTTTTAAACATGAATGTTTCTAATCTACAGAAGCAAGATCAGATATGGAAAACTTCTATTCAGTATTGACAACTGTGCTTTTTAGGGATTTACTTTAATGTGTTTTTAACCATATAAAGCCTACTGTATCATATTTGATGCATGATTCACTGAGATCTTAAATTATCAACATGGTCAATATTTTGCTGAAAAACCTGTTGTACATAATCTACTACATGCATTCTGTCCTTTCATAATCCTTCATACTTATTTAAGCAAGAAAAAAAGGCCTTTTGCTATAATTGTAAAAATGTCCACCTTCAGGTTGTGTCTTTTTGCTGTGAAATCTTTAATGATTTTTATGAAGTTAATAATTATATTCAAGATGAACATTTACTTGACAGAAGAAACTTAGGTTTACTTAATTATCCATAAGAAAAATCATTAAATTGTGAGTATAAAATATGATCAGGCTTTTGATTAATGTTTATTTCTACATTTCTCAGTCATAATTGCATTGTATATTTTTCCCCTACACTTTGATCATACTACAGAGATCTGATCATAAAATTAAGCCTTACTGGGAGAAATATAGTGATACCTGATATTTATATGCATTTTATGTAAGTAGTCTGCTATACTGTTATAAAAATCTCACTGATTTACAAGATAGAACTTTATCTTACTTTTTGGCCATATAAATAACAACATCTGCAACAATTTGTTTTTTTTTTTTTTTGCTCAGTTTGAGGCTCAAATTGAGTTTTTTTTTTCTCGAGTATGTGCTTCATATTCTCATTATATAACACTATATGTGCCACAAAAGCCTGATGTATAAAATATTACATAAAACAAAAAACACATACGCAACATTTTTTTTGTTGATTTTTTCAGAAATTTCAATACACCAATATATATTTTTAAAAATCTAACTTTTTTTTCCTGACTATTTTTTCAGGCTCGGTTAATTAATATACCACTGAATAAAACTCATGCTGTCCTACCAGCACTTTTACACTATTTACACTTAACCTAACAAAACGTCATTGCAAAACTAATCATTTGTGAGTTCCACTAATTACTTATTTCGAAAAGTATGCTTCCAATAAGTTGTTCAAAACTCAAAACTACTAACTTCCCGTTAATATATCTCGGCGAAGTATATTAAAGGCACAATAAGTAAGATTTTTTTATTAAAATATCCAAAAACCACTAGAACAGTGTTATATATTTTGCTGACTTGTGTACTTACATTATCCCAAATGTTTCGAAGAATGCTTAAATCCAGAGAAATAAGCAATTTTAACTAGTGACACGCACCGTGTCCATTAGGCTTGCCGCAATAGACGGTGTGTAGCCTAAGAAATTTGTTATTTTATTAGGCATATATGGTGCATTTTTATTCGTTTAGTTAATAAAAGTTCTGAGTTTGACGTTGTTGTTGCTTGAATTGAATCAACGCCGAATTCCCGCTAATTTGAAAGTGAAAGTAAAATGCGCACGGTGCTTTTTCAAGCTATTTGAAAGCCAAGAAATCCGAGGAAAAACTCAAACAAACAATTGCTTGACGCCGAATTGCAGCAATTCAACTGCCGCTAATTTGAAAGGGAAAGTAAAATGCGCACTTTTACAAGCCATTTGGAAGCGAAGAAAAGAGCGTGTGTCACGCTCGTTCAGTGGCCTCGTTTCACTTCGACGGCTTTCAGCCTCACCCTGCTTCATTCTACTACGTTAATAAATCATTAGCTCATCCATGAACATGATTTCTGCCCGAGTCCCGTCGGATTGCATCGGCTGTGGGGATGAAGATGACAACTCCCATGATTCCACACTCAATCACAGCGTCATCTAACTAAGCCTTTGTCTCTTTGTTTATTTTGAATTTGCGCCCTCTAGCTGTGAAAATTACATATTGTGCCTTTAAAGTGAGATGTCCGATTCTCGGTTAATTGAATCAGCTCTAACCGATTCATTCCAACTCGTGAACGACTTTCATGAAGCGGTTAAAATGATTCACTGAAAAGATCCGACTCAGATGAATCGACATGCCTAGGTGTCACAGAGACGAGTGCAATTTCTCAGGACTCATTTCAGTCAGATAATTTTTTTCACGCGTGGTTACAGCAGATAGGTAAAATATTCCCAGGCGTGCCCGACAAGACCCCTCCACGTGAACTTACTTTGAAGTCTCGGCTGTGCTGCGGCGTGTACTCAAAGGTCCACAGGGCTCGGACCAGTCCCGACAGCTGCTCTGTCACCTCTCCTCCGTCCTGACCGCCCTTCCTCTGCACGACCCCGTTCGTCTTGGGTTTCTCGTCGTCCGTCTGGTCACCTCGGTACTGCTCCAACGCCAAATACTCCGCGAACAGCTCCGTGTTGCTCAGGCACTGCAGAATAGCGTTCATGAAACACGTATTGCCGTGGTTCTTCAAACCGGCCACTCCGGGGATTTTGTCCCTGGGAAGAAACCCCCCGCAGTCGCTGTCGTCCGACGCGACGGATCCCTTGCCTTCGTTCTTTAAGGCTGTGAACCCCCCATCGTCCTTGTCGCCCTCGGGCGCGTGCAGCTCCGAGCCGAAATGAGAGAGCGTGGAGAGAGTCTTCAGGACTCTGCTCATAAAACTCCCCACGGAGCGCACCGAGCCCCGGCGGAAGAGCTTCTTGCTGAAGCCGGACTTCTTCTCTTTACCCGAAGATTTGCTGGACATGTTTGGAGTGTTTAGGGCATCCCCTCCTCACAGCGATAATCTAGCTACAATTGCCAGCCGAAGCTAATCGAGTGCAAACGCTGGCTGCTTATTTAGAGCATAAAATCGACTCAAGATCTGGCATGTTCACTTCGCAAAGTCACGGAGAGCTAGCTAGCCGGAGGCAGTGCCTCTATTATCCAAGCGTTTGCTTCAGTGACACAACCCGAGTTTGCCTTGAGAAAATGCATTGTGAAATGCGCACGCCTGCCACTTTTTCAGATATTAAAACCTGTTATGTCAAGTTGGCAGTAACCTGGCAGCCGGTTATTAACTAGCAGCTGGTTGTTCGCCATCTACTCGCTCTGTCTATAACATACTGTATTAAACGCTCACTGGCCCCTCTCGCTAAAAACAAACCGTTAGGGTTTGCATGCTGTCTAATCCGGTGAAGTGATTTCTACTGTCTAGCTAACACAGTGGCTAGCTAGGCCTGCCCGGGCTAACCGTTTGCCATGTCAATAAAATGACGGGCAAAAGTGGATTTCTACCGGAGATCGTGTCCAGCATCAAAGTCAAATGCGCTCGACTGCCGCGCGTGATCAAACGCTGTAGGCATGCAGAAGCTAATCGAGTGCAAACGCTGGCTGCTTATTTAGAGCATAAAATCGACTCAAGATCTGGCATGTTCACTTCGCAAAGTCACGGAGAGCTAGCTAGCCGGAGGCAGTGCCTCTATTATCCAAGCGTTTGCTTCAGTGACACAACCCGAGTTTGCCTTGAGAAAATGCATTGTGAAATGCGCACGCCTGCCACTTTTTCAGATATTAAAACCTGTTATGTCAAGTTGGCAGTAACCTGGCAGCCGGTTATTAACTAGCAGCTGGTTGTTCGCCATCTACTCGCTCTGTCTATAACATACTGTATTAAACGCTCACTGGCCCCTCTCGCTAAAAACAAACCGTTAGGGTTTGCATGCTGTCTAATCCGGTGAAGTGATTTCTACTGTCTAGCTAACACAGTGGCTAGCTAGGCCTGCCCGGGCTAACCGTTTGCCATGTCAATAAAATGACGGGCAAAAGTGGATTTCTACCGGAGATCGTGTCCAGCATCAGCATCAAAGTCAAATGCGCTCGACTGCCGCGCGTGATCAAACGCTGTAGGCATGCAGATCACTGTCATAATACGGGACAGTGATTAGCTCGCGCTGCTAGTGCGCTAGCCGATGCCGCCTCTTCACGCATAATTGAGCGATGCACTGCAACTCCACCCAGACAATGACGCTCCGCTCCGACCGCTAAATATTATGCATACGCGCTCAGACTGGACGCGCAGGCGAGATACTTCAGCTTGTTTGTCTATTCGGATTTCACACCCAACAGTCACAGACCGCTATCCGGCGCGAGCCCGATGCTACAGCGGCAGATGCGCGCGATCGAACGGGAGTTCGGCGTGTATCACGAATCCCATACGTTTTCGCATGTCCTCGTTGTCTCAGCGGTTTGCTCCTCGCCCGGCCAGTCGGAAGGTGTCTGGTGGATTCCGATGGTGGTAGTGGTGTGTCGGTGGGCCGTCGCGTCCTCGAGCGCTTTTCTAAAATCACTGACACTGCAGGGCGGCCAGGGTTGCCAAGTTTTTAAAACAAAACCTGCCCAATGGCTTCTCCGGGGGGGAAAAACACGTTTTTGGCAGGTTCCCTTGGTAAAATTCGTATTCCATGGGCTAAAAATCACGTTTTGGGGGTCGCTTCAACCCGCGGCAACAGTGTTAAAGTAACCCAATTCCTGCGGGAAAACCGCGGACCTGGCAACACTGAGGGCGGCGGTGCGCCGTGACGTCACAGCCCAGCAGCAGTCTCGTTCAGGTAGTTTCTGGTAGCTACTGTAGTGTGTTCATGGATTAGGGGTGTCCTCAACCTTTAGCGAGTCATAGTACTTTGATTTCGCACTCTAAAGTACTGAGTAGTGCACGACAATAACATAAAAGTGTTTTAAAACGGTTCACAGTTCACGGTTTTGTACCTCCACGACCCCAAGTAGCCCTTCATCGAACTAGAAATATGTTTCTTTCACTCATATTTTATTGGATAGCTATTTAGCATTATCTTTAAATAAACTTCAAAAATAATGAATATTGTGGACAAAAAAACTGCAACTGGCTAGCAATAATGACTGTGACATAAAGGCTTTCGGCTATTTAAAAAAAACACCACAACTTTCATCCATTCTGAGGAGGGCAAATATAAAGAAACTTTGTGAGAAAGATTTAACATTAAATACAATTTCTCTCTAAGACTATTTGAAAAGAAGACCGTGGAGAAGACTATGAAAAGACTGAGGACATTAGATGTGAAGACTTGTCTTGACCAGCAGTGCACGGTATCCAGAATGTGAGAGGAGTGTTTCTGGGGAGGTTACGGTAGTCACAAAGAGGGCACAGAAACCTGTTTTAGATCAATTTGAAAATCTTGTCAAACAGGATTTTAACCCAACTGACTTTTATGCTTTGGGAAGTGGCCTACCTAGTGGTTTTGCATAGCCAGTTTAACCCACACAGAATATCTGTGGAGACATTTTCAGATTTATTTATTAATAAAAGAGTACTGGATGCTATTCTAAAGCATTATGCTCTTGTTCAAGCTTGTTCCATAAGACAATTGTTCTACAAATACATGTAGAAGAGTACTGAATGTGATGCATCAAGCATCGGTTTTGGCCTGCCACCACAGCTGATCCAGTTGTTACACATTCAAGGTCGTTTGACTAAGGTCTGGTGTAACATGAGAGCAGCATCTCTATCTGGCAGAAAGCTCTCTGCTCTTCCCCCGTAGCCCATCCATTCTGCATAACACTCCATCTACACACAAAACTGTTCTCTTCTGCATGGAAATAAAAAATAGTTGGGATGCTCAATATAGAACACACATTAAAAATGCACGACCTTTAATGACTGTTCATTTATGTCTTTATTGCTTTTTTCCCTGTGGATTGTGATAATTCTATAATTCTGTGGATTCTCAACGCACTGTGTGATGTACGTCATCCGAGGTCAGAAGCAGAAAATTACTCCTTTATTTCAAAGGGAAGTCATTTATCACCTTTTCAAGTGAACGACAAGATAAATGACTACAGTTTGCATGAAAAAGGCAATATATGTTATGTCAGCGCATTCAGAATGCTATCTCATTAAGGAAAACAATCTCTTTGAAAGCTTTCTTTGCCAACAAAAGCACAGTTTTTCTTACATACCTGGCTTTGAATCAGGTTAAGATGCAACAGGGCTGTCCTGTTTGGGCAAATTCTCTTTAATAATGCTTAGCTGTTGTGCTGCTCCCCAACAAATCTATCACTTCTGACGTTTTGGCCAATAGAAATCTGAGATTGGTGCAGGTTGTATGGAGGGATTGGCTGGCTTGTTGCTAAGAGTCAAAGTGCAGTAACTCATCAGAGGGACAGGGCATTCCCACACTGCTGAACAGAGCATGCACGCCGTTAAGCAGAGACACATACACAAGGCAGAAAAGCGTGTCGCAGCTTGTTGAAATATCATGGGAAATTGCACAAGTGCACCTGCACGCAAGCTCCCTGCATGTGCATGAGCAGAATGTTTTGTGTAGTCAAAAACATACAAAAGACACGTTTGTTCAAGAGAAACTAGAATCAATTCGGGACAAAGTAATGAGAAATGAGAGAATTTGTTATGCATTAGTATTTGTAAGTGTGATTTAACTTTGTACATTGTGGGTAGTGCATTTTATTATTTTTAAAATAGGGTCTGGAGCCCCCAGGGGGCCACAGGAGGTGGCAGGTGTTCTGTGGATATTTTTACAGTGGGGGAAAAGTTAAATAAGTTTAAACGTACTGAATTTGGCATTGTTGTTGTGGTGCTTTCTAAAGACTGGCTATAAATCATGCCATTAATTGGGATTATATTATTAAAACAAAACAAATCAAATATATTTTTAGCTCATTTTAGATCTTTTTTTTTTTTGCAAAGTGCATACATTCAAGAATAAAAAAAAAAATTGTAAATATTTTCATAACATTATATATATATATATATATATATATATATATATATATACA